AGAGAGCTTTTGTGTTTTTCTTGTTCATTCCACAACCGCACTTTGAGAGACTGACTTGGGCCCAGGCTGCTGCTGACGAAGTGAGAGCGAACTTTATGTTTTTCTTTTCTTCCTTTCTCCCAATCTCTCTCCTCGACTGACCCTTTATTGTTGAATCTCGACTTGACTCGGATACCTTGTTCGACATAGGGCTTTCTCTCTCTGCCTCTTTACTCATCTTTCGAGTTTTGCGTGCTCTGCTTTTTGTTTTCCTTTTCTATTTAGTGCTGCATCTGTTTTTCTTTCTCTCTCCTTTTGCGTCGTCATCGTTTTGTATCTAGACTTGCTTTTTTGGAAGGAGGAGGAAGGGGGAAGGGGAAGGGGAAGGAACGAGTGGACGGTCCTCCGGGGGGGGGGGGGGGATGGATATGATGGGTGGAAGGAAGGGGTTCTTGAGGCCATGGGGCCTTTTGGAGGACAGTACCTACCTCGACAACAAAATATCCATCTATACGATCCGAGAACCTGAATATCTGCCCCGTTTTGAAACTGTGTAGATGTCGTGACTGTGCATGCCCTGCAAGCAAGGTGCGGAGTAATCCGCTTGTCAATATATCTCTGCTGACATTATGGTGGAAAACGAGTCGAGTGGGGGTTCTCACCGACACACGGGACGAGGCGAAAGGGTTCGTTGTATCCGTACCTACGTTGGCGAACAGATAGATAGATACCCCTGTACGTCTTGCCCTTCTTTGGGCTGTTGTGTGTGAGCTCTCATGCAGGTGTTGACGTCTTTTGCCGGCTTTCTCGGGATATATATGTACCTTGCCTCCCCCTCACCTCGATGGAACTTGGCTTGGTGACAGATGGCGGCGCTGATGTGTGTAATTGCTTGCCTCTTGGTGGGTGGTAGATAACTCGTTATGGGTTCGGGGTCTGACTTGCTGCCACATGGTTTTGCGGGATGTTTGGGATGAGACATGATGGGACGAGCCTCTCGGGCAAGAAGAGGAGAGGAACCGCTTACCGAGCCTCACCCGCCCACCGGTTCATGCCAATACTTCCTTGCTTTCCTTACCCGGACGACTTTCTCCGTCCCGCTGGGTGTGATGTCCAGATCCTCGGTCAGGCACGATACACGTTGTTCTTCTCTTCCTGGGATCGTCCCTGTCAACTTCCCAGACATGTAACCTCCCCCTCCAGACCCGAGGTGATTCAGCCTCTATGTACACTCCTGACGAGTATGTGGGGGTCGGTCAGCCAAATACCTGCACAAACATTTCCGATGCGTGCAGCTTGGCTTGTGTGATGTCTGCACCATGCTGCAGTGCCCAATATATACTGTCTGCTGTGCTGTAAATATATTCCCCTTGGCGGCGATACCACCTCGACGGTGAACAGAGGTGTTTCCCGGTTACTCTCCCGCTCGATGTACGATGGAGACGGGTCCCTGGTTGGCAGGCGTGGTAGAATATATGAAGGGCTTCGGGGGGGGAAGGAGGGGGGTCTAGTCCGAGGAGGACGCCGCTTATCTGCCCGCCGCCGCCGCTGCTCGGTTTTTTTTTTATGATTCATCGGTCTGATATCTGTCTCCCGTGTAAACATATCCTTCCTTTGTTCTCTCCCTCTCTCTCTTCAGTTTCGTGTGCTCCCATCTTGTGGTGGCACAGTCCATTCGTTTTTTCCCTCCCTGCCCGTTTGCGTGACGACCGGATAGCTGCAGCTGAGCTGAACAACGACGACGACGACGACGACGACACTCGCTTTCTGCTGCCCCGTACAATCCACAAAACCACCCCGAGTAATGGACACCTAGCAACGATGAACCTCCCAGCCCTCCTCCTCGCCCTCCTCTCCATCACCCCCTTTACCGCCGCCGACTGCGAATGTGGCTACGCCCTCACCCTCGACCCCCACCCCCAAGCTCAACCAGAACGACACGTCTTCACCGAACTCACCGAGTCCAACTTTGCGCGGCTCCATGACGATGATATACGACGTAACACAGACTGGGCGCCGCAGGCCTTCAATGTCACCGCGGAGCGCGGGCGGGGGGCCTACGGCGAGATGTTTTCCGCGCGCAACGTCGACATGGTCGCGGGAGATGATTCCGGGCTGAGGATGACGGTGGGCAGCGAGCTGGTCCGGGGCATGGTTCCCACCGCCGAGGTGGCAACACGACGGCTGGATATGATGTGGGGGACGTTTAGGGCGTCGATGAGGTTGACGGGGGTGGAGGGGACGTGTGCGGCGTTTTTCTGGGTAGGTTTCTCCCGGTGTCACCCAGGGGATAGGTGGCTAACGGGGATGGGGGGTAGTATTTCAACGACACGCAAGAGATCGACATGGAGTTTCTGTCAAGGGAATTCAACAGGGACAACGGGAGTTTCCCCGTCAACTTGGTTCTCCAGTCCCACGAGGCGGCGGCGGCAAACTTTGATGCTTCGCACACCGGGACGTTTGTCAGGGCCTACCTCCCGTTCGACCCGACAGAAGGATTTCACGAGTACCGCATCGACTACCTCGCCGGGAGGGTTTTTTTCTACGCCGACGGCGCGATGCTCGCGCAGATGGACGGCCCGGCGGTGCCCGTGACGGCCGGGCATCTGATCATGCGGCACTGGAGCAACGGGAACCCCAAATGGTCTGGTGGACCTCCGGAGAGGGATGCGGCCGTGCTGGTCAAGTACGTCAAGGCGTACTTCAACTCGTCGTCGCCCAAGAGGCACGGTGACTGGGAGAGGCGGTGCAGAAACCCCAAGGAGCCGGGCGCCGTCTGCGACATTCCGAATGTCACGGCCAAGAGCCTGGTGGCTCAGGACTGGTTCTTCAGCGAGAATACCAACATGACCAACAACCAGACCGTTCACGGGCTAAACGGGACGCCAGGGAGGAGGATGGAGGCCGTTAGCGGCGTAATGTGGGCGCTTCTGTTGGCGAGCGGATGCGCCCTGGTATTGCTATGAGACGCTTGAAAGTGTTCTCTTGATGGGTTGGTTTGGCATGATTTTTGCATGGATGGTCGGGATTAGATTTGGATACGGGCGGGATACGGGTCAGGATGATATATCAAAGCTAATGACTTGATGCCGTGCAACCTCAACGACAGTTGTCGCCGTTGGGTATCCTTTTGGCGACATTGGAGCTAGATAACGGTCAGGAAGTCGGCAAGGATGCTGGGTATTGCGGAAGAAGTTGGATGACAGCCGTCGACGGCGGCTCAGACGGCCATGCACGATTCCGTCGTGCCCCCCCGGTTGATGTGATGGGGGGACACCCAGGTTTACCCGGAAGAGCCGCCTCTCCTGATTCCCGTATCGTGTTATTGCGTGCAGGAACAGCGTTGCCGAGGTCCTTCCACCAGCATATACAGAATGGATCTTGTCAGGATTGCGGCTGGTGTGTCTTGGCTGGTGGTGTTGTTCCCGGTGAGTTCGGCCATGTCTTTGTCGAGTCAGGGGTAAGCCAGCCAACAAACAATAACTGTACTCGTATCTCCCTCGGAAAAGTGCTGCTGGTTCCCACTACACCTTTGGTCGGACTTGGCTTCAACCGCGTGCTACCCGCTGGTTCGGACCGTTCGGCTGGGATAGATGCCGGTAGTTTGGCGTCGACATCAGCCGCCTCCCACGCGGACGGGCTGCTGAAGCGAAAGGAGTTTGGAGGGGTGGGTGGCAAAGGCAAAGGCAAATGTGGCACTCGCGGGCCGAAAAGAAGTTCCATGTATTGAGACGCCGAGTTGGAGACGGGCAGAGCGTCGAGAGGATGCCTGTGGCCAACGTGCGGGATGCAATGCGGGGGAATGGGGGAGTTTGAAGAGGGGGAGGGGGGGACATTTGGAGGAAGCAGCTGAGGGGATGATGTTCTTGTGATCATCCCCTCTTGCCGTTCTCGACCTTCCCAGCGTTGCATGGTCGATGCAGAACCATATGCTCCCTCTCGAGCACACCCTCCTTGCCAACCCGTTCGATACATGCACCCCGGGCTGACCCGAAGCAGTGCATCAACACCACGAAGTCCATCTTAACTACCTACACACGGAGCGATCCATGCAGTATCTTGTTTTGTAGAGTTGTCAGCAGGTCGAGATATACTCCCAGACTCTCAACACCATGTCTTCAACCCAATGTTCTGACCTCGGCCACATGACTGCTCATGCTCGTCCTTCCCCTACTCCTAACTCTTCGTCACGCGCTTCATAACACGTCTCCGGAATCCATGTACATCAAGAGGGAGATTCCCCCTTTTATGTATATAGAGCTTCCTCAGTCAATATTCTCAATCTGCCCCGAACTTCGACCCAAGACCTTGTCGAATCTTTGCCAGTCCGAATACCATACGAACTTAATGCCGCCTCACTACCGGCTCCACCCCGCAGTTATACAAGTCCGCAATAGCAACACAAAGAACCCCCGGCATGGCGGTTTGAGCGTCATCGACATCTCGAATCCGTCAGCCAACAACAGAATGCTCTCTCACAGTTTCCCGATAGAACTCTCCCGCCCAACTGTCGTTGGATGTGTACATGCTCGCGTCGTCAACACATATCGAGAAGGACCCTGTCGTCCAAGATCCAGGAACCTACCCAGATGTACGGGAAAGAATAGAGAACGAGAATTTCGGAAGGGATTGAGGTTGCTTGCGCTTCCGGGAACGGCAACAAGAAGATCGCCCGCTCTGGTGGCAGCGACGAGGCCCGAGGTATTGCAACAGAGGGTAGATGATCTGAGAGAGCGGGCGGAGGATGTGGAAGAGAAGGCGGCCGAGAGCAGTGAAAAAGAGGTACCGAAGGAGGGGGGCCTGACGAGGCAGAGCGTGGGTTTGGGAATGACGGCAGCAGGGGCAGCGATATTGGCGCTGCCATTGGTGTCAAAGGCTGTACTCAACGCGATGATGCTTGGGGTTCTGATGGTTTTCCTCTGATGACAAGAGTCCAAGATAACTTGGAGAATGGACTGGCCGCGCAGGCAAAAAAGAAATGGCAAAAAAATCAAACCATCCCTTCTACCCTTCCCATGTGTCTCTCCCGCCGGGAATTGAACCCGGGTCTCGAGCGAATATTCTGGATGAGAGAATGACAAGCTCACATACTGACCACTATACTACGGAAGATAAGATATCGTGTGAATGTTTTCCATTCACCGTAGCTGCTGGGGGCAGAGAGAAGAGAGGCCTGAAACTCGGATACGGGGAGTCGAACCCCGGGCTGGTGAGTGAGAGTCACCGATGTTACCGCTACACCATACCCGATTTTTGTGATTGATGTAAGGCAAGGTCAGAAGAGGGGCTTTTCAAAGGTTTCGGTCAGGGCTGTGTCTTTTTCTTTCTCGTCTGGTGGATTGAGAGTGGGGTTGAGGGTTCGAGGTGGATCAGGTGAAGTCATGGTACCGATGCACATAGGGTCGTGGCTACCAGAAGGGATCTGCGAACTTGTTGTTTTCAACAGCCACTTTCTCTCGGGGAGTTTCATAAAATCAACGGCTTCTTCTGCTGGCTAATATCGTTCTCAATCGAAGTTATCTTGGAAAGAATCAAGACCATCTATCGCGGCGGGGTTGCGGCATCGAAAAGACGGGATCGGACCGGGGATCGACAGTGACGTAATGGGACACCCCTGAGAGGATTGCCCAGCAACGTCATTATCAACCACCCTCTTCTTGTACTCTGTTCCCCTCGGCGCCATCCTCCCACAAGCCCCCAACATTGACCAATGATGCCCGGACCGCTTTGGCTGGAGGACACGGGGTGGTAGGACAATGATGAGTCGAAAGGAGCCGGTATAGGGGTCTTTTCACCAGCACCACGGCGCGGATATAACCTGCCGAAAGCTTGTTCCCCCCTCCCTCAGCCCCCTCCGCGGGATGACACTCCGGCGCGCGGCATGATGACGGAACATGGTCAACAGGTGTCGCCAGCTTCTTCGACTTGGCACCCGGCCGATCGATGCCTCACTCGTCGCTAGTCTCGCCTGTCTGGGCAGGTAATCGGAACTACCAGTCCAACGGCAAACGCAAAGGAGTGGTTGGTGGAAGGTTGCCGTTGTGTAAGTGGTGGCTCTTGCACACCACACCTCCTCACATCCCTACGTCAGACCCAGAGATTGCTGAGAGTTGAGCAAGTGGTGGTGGCCACGAGGTAGTTGCTGAATCAATACTATGTATTAGTAGCTGCCGTCCCCCGTCCTTTCGGCATTGTTCTGGAAAGACCCAACCATCCAAGAGTTGGAACACATCATACAAACCCTTTCAACAACTCGAAGACGGCCACCTCAGTCAAAATATATCGACTTGATAAGCCGACAGACCACCACCATGGAGTCCCTAAACAACATCGGCACCGCCGTTTCCAAGGCCATCTGGGGAACCGACGAGACCAACACCCAGGAGCCCATCTCGGGCAAGACTGGCGACGTCTCCAAGGGACAGCCGTATGACGCCGGCAACCTAGGTAAGCACCCATAACCACCCCAGCCCCCGAAACACCACTCACCACCCCTCCAGAGCCCAACGAGCAATCCTCCGCCCAAACACCCCTCCCAACCTCCGCCGAAATTGACTTCGACTCCAAACCCTCCAACGACACCCCCACCGTCCACCACGCCGCCCCCTCCTCCTCCACCCCCGCCGACCACACCCTCCCTTCGGCAGACGACACGCCCAAGCCCTCCTCAACCGCCCCAGACAACCACCCGGCCCCCAACAAGACCCTCCCCTCCTCCACCGGCCCGACCGACCAAACCACCTCCCAATCCGACACGCGCCACCCCTCGGACCCCGCCGCCGACCACCACGCCTCGGCCGCCAAGAAAGACGTCGACGACACCACCGGCGGCCTCGACGTGGGCGACAACCCGGACAAGCTCCTCTCGGGTCCCGGACCGCGGCCGCTCGAGGTCGTGGCCAAGGAGCACGGCGGCGACGCAGGCCGCAACGACGCCCCTCCCCCTAAGCAGGAGGTCGAGAGCGGCGACGCCCCCCTCGACCGCCACGACTCGGGCCACAGCACCCAGGGTGACAAGGGCCTCAAGTACGTCAAGTCGAGCGGGCTGGTGGCGGACGGAGGGGATTTTGACGCGGCGAAGCCGGGGGCGGGGAGGGAGGCAGATCGTGAGTTTCCCCCTATTTTTTTACACCCACACCCTGTTTGTTTGGAATGGGACTGACAAAGAGACAGGTCTTCTCGATCAAAAGGGCGTGCATCGCGATCCCACGGCCCAGGGGGGTCTTGTTGCCAACAAGGGGTCAGCCGACAACATCACCGCTGGGACGGCGGGGGAGGACAAGGAGAAGGTCAGCTTGAAGACCAAGATTAAGAACAAGCTGCATCTGGGGTCGCATTCGGGGTCGGGATCGACGGCGTCGGTGCCGGCTTGAGCGACAACTGGCGTGTTTTCTCTCTTCGTTGACGCTTGAGTTTCTTCTTGATGATATCCGTACCTACCAACCTCGGCTGTCCTGTCTTGCCAGGTGTTTTGTCGCGTTCTGTTCTCTGCTGGTCTGCATACCTAGTTGTAGTCAATACACATATCCAGGCTCCAATGTCCAATGCCCAGACCTGTCTCCCGGGATGTCGGGAAGGTGATGATACTTCGGGAACGGAGAAAGGGGCGCGGGTTATGTAAGCCTGTCAAGCTCTGGGCATCGACCTGTCAAGCTGTCAACATCTTTCTTGATCTTCTTGGCAAATTAATTCTATTCCGACGTCGCTCTGTTTCGAGTTGAGTGGAGGGGAAAACTTACATACTTCCTGTCGTTGACCATCCACGTGCCCACGTCAGCAAGGAAGAACCCCAGACAATCGTCAGACAGGTAGCAACAAAAGCCCTTGTCCATTTTGTATAAAAGTACATACGCCCCCTTCAACCCCTCCCATTCATCCCGACATTCCCCCTCCCATCCACCGTCGTCGTCATTTCGCCTGTTGTTGTGTCGTTGTATGTAGCAGAAGTAAGTAGTAGGTAGGTAGGCAATAAGTTCGGTTCCCTCAAGCCGCTCACGTCATCTTCCTCCCTTCCTGACAATTCCAACCGCTGAATCTCCCATCCAGAAGAACAGTGGGTAAACAAGCCCCAAAAGTAACAAGAAGAAGGCGAAGAGAGAAAATGTGTGTGTGTGTGTGTTTTGGGAGTGTGTGTGTCCGATGTTTATGCCACAGGAAGAAAAAAATATCGTCGTCGTTAAACCCCCAGAGAGAAGAAACAAGTCAACCAAAAAAAGAACCAACGCTTCCCTTTCCCTTTCCCTTCTTCCCCCATCTCTGCCCCCTCACTCATCTTTCTGTACCAGCCCGTCCGTCCGTCACATACATAAATCGCGCCCCCGACAGATAGAGAGATGGGTATCTTCATAATAACCCATGACCAAAAGCAAGAAGAAGAAGAAAAACCTTACCATATTAAGAACAACCATTGAGAGAGAGCCCCCCCACTCACCCAAAAAAACACACAGGGGCATCCAAGTAAACTTGTACCGGGAAAAAGTCGCAGAGGTCTGATAACCCGTTCGCCGGCTTTCCAGTATTCCGTCAGACTTGATGCCCAAGAAAAGATGATTCAAGCAGACCAAGCGAACGGACGCTCGCTGCCTGCCTGCTAAATGTCCAAGTAATGGGCCACCGGGGAATATAATCTGCCCGGAAGAAGAAGGGAAGAAAAAAACAGGTCCGACATCTCTCTCACTGTTGTGGTGTGGCCTGTTCCAAAGTTCCATATGTGTGGTGTATGCATGTGTCCTGTTGTTGTGTACGTCTCGTATGCCGCTTTTCCTTCCCTGGGAAACGGTGTGGCGATCAAGAGAATTCATCTCCGGGGACATGAAGTAGAATGTGAAGTTTGGCGTCAGGGGAATAAAAATGCAATGTGCGCATCTCCGGGGGTCCACCCCGGGCCGCTCAGCCACCCAGGGTTGCGGAGAGCATGATGATATTGGCGACGCTCAAGGCCCCCAAAGTAATGACGGTTCCCATGGCCTCCTCGCTGGTGCTAAGTGCGGAGGCTGGTTTCGGTAACCGTCTCGGAGCTAGACAGCTTGGCGCTCGCATCAGCGATGGTGCTGTCCTCGGCGATGCCATCGTTCGTGCTTGGTGGACTGCTAGACGGGCTGTTTGGGCCCGTCGTGAGAACTGGGGGTGTTGGGATGGAAGCGTCTTCGGAATGCACCGTGGGCGACGTTGGGGCTGTGGACGCGGACGCCTCGTTGACGACGGGTACGGGTGTCGAAATGAGGTTAATCAGTCGGTCAATGGCAGAGGCTGGTTGTTTGCTGATGACGGTCTTGAGGGGATATACGATTGGCTTGATGGCATCGACCAGTGACTGGCGCTCGCTTCCCTTGAGCTGATTCAAGAGTTTTTCTGGTGGCAGGATTAGCATCCCACAAGGGGTAACGGGGACTGGGCTACTCACGAATCACATAGTTTCCGAATTGGTCCTTGATGAGCAGAGCCAGGGGGCTGTTGAGATCCTCGGGATTCGGTCCCGTGACTGATGCCGCTTCCCGTATCCGGCGCAGCTCATCGGTGCTGGCCTTCTCGATGCACTTTTCCACCACGTTGGAGGCGAACTTGTGCTTCGAGTAGTGGATCAAGTCCTTGGTGACAGTGGCGATCATCTTGGAGGCGTCCTCGGGCGACCCCTTTCTGATGACGTGCTGGGCGACGTAGTTTCCGTAATTGTCTGGGATCAACTGTTGGGCATGTTGATGCAGCTCAGCCATGATGACGACCTTGTCGGCCTCGGCGCCATGCTCGAGGACCCTCTGGATGACCCTGCAGCCGTACCCATGCGTCGAAAGTTCGCATACGCGGTTCTTGAAGCAGTTCATGATGAAGTCGATGTGCTGGCGAGGAACGAGCTCGATGATCTTCTGGACGACGTGGTTGCCGTTTTGATCCTTGACCACCTTGAGAATCTCGGGTTCCAGCTCCTTGACCAGCTCGGCCTGCTGCTCGACGAGGACGTGCTCGAGTGCCTAAAAACATCAGTGTCTGCGTCTACGGAACAGGGTCCCAAATGATACATACCTTTTGCACGACGCGGCAAGCGTACATTTGCATCGACAGATCCACAACTTTCCCCTTCATGGCTCCTGCCAGGACCTTTTTCTGGACCTGGT